AACTGCTGGTGGGCTGCAGAGCCCCAGAGTGCACTGGTTGAGGGGCCGGCAGGCTGTAGTTGCTGACGGACACTGTCGGCCCCCATGCGCTCACTGGCCTCTGTGTGCCGGGGCCGATGGTGTCAGGCAGCATCCGCCCCAGCCCTTGCCTTGCCCCATGGCAATGGCACCCCCGCCCTGCCTCACCTCACCCCGCAGGACAAACCTCCTGCCTACTGCCCCACCTGCCAGAGACCCCTGGATCTCCAACCCTGCCCGGCCCCCACAGGCGTCCCTCCCCATGAGCAACACTGAGGTGACCATGCCCACCTTGGCCACACCCACCCAATCTGCCATGACCACCACAGCCACGCCCACCAATGGGCCACACCCACCTGGCACCCGGCGATAAATTGGGTTTTGGGTTGCAGTTTGGGCACTCGGTCTCTAAAAGGTTCGCCATCACTGCTATAGAGAGAGCTGGTAATGAAGACTGAAAATAGATTAGGGATGATTTTTTTTTTCTTTCCAACTTTTGGATCAGCTGAAAAAGCAGAGCATTTGGGATTGAGTTGCATCTGGCTGACCCAGAAACAACTAGGACAGGCATATTGGGTTGAAGCCAACAAGCAAGGGAGTGAACAATATAAGCAATGACATTATTACTTCACATAATGTGGCCATCAGGTCAACCCTTTTGGGGCAGAAGTTCAGGGCTTGCTCTGGAAATGTTGGCTTGCTATATTTTGAAGCAGTGTATTCATTTACATTGCCATCTAAATGAGTAACCCCCAAGGCCATTACATCCAGAGTTTAATAGTGGTAACTGCACTACTAGGTTTATGCCAAAGTGGCATATAAGTCAACTGGGAGCGGGTCTCCCTGCACTGGGGTCACTCAAGCACTTAAAAGCAACCATTCTGGGCCACAGAAACAATTTATGAGTGACAAAAGGGAATCAACCTTTAATGACATAAAATTCAGAAGGCAAGAGTTGGCTGCCTCATGTTGACATTAAGAAGCTTATTCAAAGCAAGGGCAAAACGTCTTGCTTTCACTCCGATAGCTCAGTGGTTAAAGATGCTGAGCTTATCAGCTGGAAGGCCAGCAGCCCAGGTTTGAGACCCGAGCACCGCACAACAGGTGAGCCCCCGTTCCTTGCCCCAGCTCCTGCCCACCTAGCAGTCTGAAAACATGTAAATGCGAGTAGATCAATAGGTACCACTCTAATGGGAAAACAACAGTGTTCCATGTGCCTTTGGCATAGAGCAGTGATGGCGAACCTTTTAGAGACCGAGTGCCCAAAACCTGCTCCACCCCCACCCGCCCCCTGCCCCACCCGTATGCAGGGCCACCCAGTGCCTCCATGGCCCATCGCAGATCGCCCAGCGGCCCTGCAGCACCATGGCAGCCACGCCCTCCACCTGCACCCTGCAACATCATCTGTGCATGACGGGGTGCAAGGGCGGAGTCTTGTCCCTGCTGCCCGGCTGCCATGTCCTTGGCTGCGCTGCTCCATGCGGGCTGTGCCCAAAGGCGACTCTCCTCTGGGGGGCTGCTGGTAAGGAGGGGGCCGTGGGGGAGGTGGGGCTGGGGCGACAGCATGTGGGCACACAGAAAGGGCTCCGAGTGCCGCCTCTGGCACGCGTGCCATAGGTTCGCCACCACTGGCATATAGCCATGCTGGCCACATGACCAGGAAAATGTCTTTGGAGAATGCTGGTCCCCTCACTAAGAAACAGAGATGAGTACTGCACACAACTGGACAGGGAAACATTTACCTTTTCTTACTATGTAACTAGAGCAGATTAATAGGGTCTTTATGTTTTCTAATGAGCTAGGATCAGCTTAGGAAAATGTCCTATTTGAAAACACTGGTAGCCAAGTTGCGGATCAGGAAAAAAGTAATAAGGCGGAAAAAAAACCATGAGCAAGTTTCTACGAAGCTTCTTACTTCCTAAAAATTGTCTTTTCCCGGAGAGTTTCATCGGTGAGATAAATTGGGGCTCCATGACTTCTTATCACAGCTAAAAGCAGCTGCAATGACAGAAGAGGGTGGGGCTGGATTTTTTCAAATGGGGCTGCTTTGTACCTTTATTATTGGAGGGTTTATTTCTTGGCTGACTACCTCAAAACAAGGAAGGAATTCTTAATTGAGTATTTCCCGACAGCATCTTCTTGGGTATGTTGACTTAAAATTCCTTCTTGTCAACATGAATGGTTGCAGAGAAGACCAATAAATCAAGAACTCCTGAGTTCTGGTGCCTAATGATTGTGTCATTTGCATGCATCTGTGAAATAAATCACTTCTGTCATATTCAGACATCTTGTTGTCTTTAAAACCTTGAGTTCCCCTCTGTTGCCGGTGTTACAGTGATTTTTGTAGTTTTTAAACAGGCAAAAGCAGCATCAAACCTGCTGTTTCCCTACCGGTTATAACCAGGATCCGGGCCACGGGTGGGCAACTTTTTGGCCTGTGGACTTCAACTCCCAGAATTTAACAAGACTGGCTCAGGAATTCTGGGAGTTGAAGTCCATAGATTATAAAGTTGCCATAATTTCCCACCCTTGATCTAGATCAGGGGTCTTCAAAGTTGGCCCTTTTATGACTGATGGACTTCAACTCCCAGAATTCCTCAGCCAGGCACGTGTGCCTGGCTGAGGAATTCTGGGAGTTGAAGTCCACCAGTCATAAAAGGGCCAACTTTGAAGACCCTTGATCTAGATCAGTGGTTCTCAACCTTTTTAATGCCGCGACCCCAACTGGTCATAAGTCGAGGACTAAACCAGTCGTAAGTCGAGGACTACCCAACCGGTCGTAAGTCGAGGACTTTCCCTGCCCGGGAGTGTCGCGCATGCGTGGTTCTGCCCCCTGCGCCGGCCGAGGCATAGCTGGCAAGTGGCAGAGATGGAGCAGGCCGACCACCAGCTGGCCCAGCCCAAGGGAGGTAAGGCACCCGCCAGAAAAGGGGAAAAAATGGTGGACAAAAAAAATGGTGGACAGCCTTGCTTGGCGACCCCCGTGAAATGGTCGATCGACCCCAAATGGGGTCCCGACCCACAGGTTGAGAACCACTGATCTAGATCAACTCAGAAAACATCAGCAGGCCTTGTTTGCCTTCAGTGATAATGTTACATAGCCAACTCTGTTTGGCAATGTAATGCTTACAATACTTGATGGGGAACAGTTGAAAAATGAAAAGCCTTTGGCTGTGCACTGGTGTAGAAGAGAGAACAAATAAGGGAAATTAGGTAATACTTGGCTTCTCCTGAAAAATAAAATAGGAGACCTGGCTACGTAAGTCCTGTCTTTGTGTAGCAAGATGAACCTAATGATCCTTATCCCAAAGGTGCTTTTTCAAAAGGCAACTGGACTTTGTTCTTCCTTGAAGATGTTTCGCGTCTCATCCAAGAAGCTTCTTCTGTTCTGACGGAAGGGTGGCGAATGGAATGGTTCCTTGCAGTCATATAAATCCTTCATTCTCCGCCATTCAGTCAGAACTGAAGAAGCTTCTTGGATGAGAAGCAAAATGTCTTCAAGGAAAAACAAAGAAAGTCCAGTTACCTCTTGAAAAAGCACCTTTGGGATAACCATGACCTGGATGACTGAGGATCTCCGTAGACATTAATGATCCTTAGATTTTAGATTACTTGGGTCCCTGATTAAGGGTATTGGAAAATCTTACTTTGATTGTCAGAATATGTGTACCCTTAACTTTCAGCTGATCAAATCCGTGCCCTGCTATTATATGGCCAGAGTCTATCCTGCAGAATAAGCTGCCTGATTGTGCCTGATGATCTCTAAGGAGCAAAGCCAAGAATCCTACATGTATGATAAAAACGAAGGTTGTAAAACAAATCCACCATCGATTTTTAACTGGTGCAAATGCACAAATGAATTCCATTGCTGCAGAGACAGGGAGCAATGAACGGGGGGGGGGGTCTACTAGTGCTGTCATTCCCTATTCAATAATATGCAGGAAAAAAAAGGTCAGGCTTTAGAATGACCTGTTTCCAGAATAGGGCATTCGGTCACTGAAGGTCAACTAAGGCTTAATGAGGTCAATGAACAATTTGGTGGCTGTATTGACACAGTACACAAAGCTTGGTTTGCATTCCACTTTTCTTTTTGTGTTGGTCACTTAGTGTGTTGGGCAGATCCAGCACGATTATAGTGCGATTCAATCTTGGGTGAGATCTTAGAAAATAAATTGATTTGAGTAATCATGTTAAGCTACTGAGGAAGGAAGGGGCAGCTATATAAAATAAACGTGAACTAGGCCAGTGGTTCTCAACCTTTTTAATGCCGCGACCCCCAACCGGTCGTAAGTCGAGGACTAAACCGGTCATAAGTCGAGGACTAAACCGGTCGTAAGTCGAGGACTAAACCAGTTGTAAGTCGAGGACTACCCAACCTGTCGTAAGTCGAGGACTTTCCCTGCCCGGGAGCGCCACGCATGCGTGGTTCCGCCCCCTGCGCCGGCCGAGGCGTAGCTGGCAAGCGGCAGAGACGGAGCAGGCCGACCACCAGCTGGCCCAGCCCAAGGGAGGTAAGGCACCCACCGGAAAAGGGGGAAAAAATGGCGGACAAAAAAATGGCGGACAGCCTTGCTTGGCGACCCCCGTGAAATGGTCGATCGACCCCAAATGGGGTCGCGACCCATAGGTTGAGAACCGCTGAACTAGGCAAAGCGGTGAACCAAACCATGAGGAAAATGGGAATGGATAATAAATATTGAGTATTTTTTTTTTTAAAAAAAAGAGATCGCAAATAATAGTACGGGGAATGGAAAAATACCTGCAGACCTGGACTAGATTTTGATCTGCCCATTTCTAATCCCAACCTTTCAAAACAGGATAAGGAAGATTGTATACATTTTGGAACAGATTAAGATAAGCCAAGCATCACACAGGGCACAAAGAGAGTAGTGTTCTGTTCTCCAAGTTGACCAGTTTCCAAAGTGGGAAGAAGAACCGCGAGGGAATTAATCTCTCAGACAACACGTGTTGGTTTTGCTCACCATAAGATGCTGAAAAAGCCAGGAGCGCATAATATTTGTAGCGTGTTTCGGAAGGACTCCTCGTTTGTTCTTTGACTTTTTATCGTCGCTGTCAAGAAGAGAGGTCAGGTCCAGGTTAACCTATAGGGCAGGCAGAAGAGAAAGAAAAGCTTCAACCACAATGCAGGTTAAAAAGAAAAGAAGAAGAAGATGAAGCCTGGGTTGCCATGGCAACACAGTTTGACAATGTTAGTCCCGTTTCACGGGGGCTTCTAGGAGGCCTGAGACAGTGCGGTGAAAAGACAACAGCACAACTTAAGAGGAAAGTGATGTTCATTTGGAAATTAAAGAGGGGGAGGAGATGGGATAAGCCTTTACTTCAAGAGGAGGTCAAAACAATCTCTTTGTTTAAAAAAAAAAGGCAAGTCTGGAAAACAGTGAGATCTCGTTAACATATTTTTTTCTCTTTGGCAAAACCTGGATGGATAAAGACTAGGATTCTTGAATCAAGGAGAGATTTTGATTCTCACGTTGCACTAAGCCCATCAGATAGTTTCTTTGGTTTTGACTTAAGAAGTCATGTGATCCTAGCCGTTTTAACTTACCCAATAAACCACTGTTAAAATAAACCATGCGTCATCTTGATGTGTCTAAATACGTAGATAGCTGAACCAAGCTTATGAAATCCTGGACCTTGCAAAGGTAGAGAAGCCAAGGGACCTTCATCTCTATTGTGTTCTTTGTTACCTATTAAGGTGAGATCCAGACTCTGATTTTGGGGCAAGAGGGTCCAAATGAAAACTTCTTCCTTTCAAAAGTTAAACTCAGAACATCTAAGTCCCTGTATTAACTTGCACATGACTTGATCAGCTTTCAAACTTTCCCAACTGTTACGCATAACACTATCAAGTTACCAAACCTACTTTTATGCCAGGCATCACAATGTGTCAATGACACTGTCTGGTTTTTTAAAGGTGGAGTCCTTCTGCCCAAGTCTTAACTCAATGTAAGGAACATAGATCTTTCCCATAGTTGCTTGCTATTGAAATGAGAGGAATTCTAACTTTGCATAGGTGTCTCTTTTCTTGTCTGTACACGTCTTGCTCCTTGTTGGAGGAATAGATTTCCTCTTTGGGGGAGGGGGGGTAGGTTAAAAAGTATGCCATGGGGAGAAGGATGGATCTGTAAATCTATAGGAAGGGACGTTTCTGCTCTAAGGTGTTTTTCCCCACCTCAAGAGATATTACAATCAACGATGAGGCTGTTTTAAAATTATTATTTTAAAATTATTGGTAGATGAGTGAGAGCTATTCTAAAGCAAAATAAGCAAATTAAGTCTTGAAGGGGTTTCATTCATCCATTACCTTCATCTTTCCTAAACAGTCAAAGTCTTTACACTATTGAAAAATAAGCAGTTTGCAGACATTTCATCTTAGTGGCATCTTGGTGGGGAATGCAATGGTTAGGTGAGCTGGGCTGTAAGTACTGACCATCATCTGACTGAAGGCTGGGTGAAAACCATCATTTGAACATTTTGAAGTATCTGGTTGAACACTGGCACTTCTCAAGCATTCAGTACCAGCAGGATCTTCCTGCAACACTGCATTGTTCCAATATCTAAAGGACTACCACAAAGAAGAGGAGATCAACCTATTTTCCAAAGTGCCTGAAGGCAGGACAAGAAGCAATACATGGAAACTAATCAAGGAGAGAAGCAACCTAGAACTAAGGAGAAATTTCCTGACAGTGAGAGCAATTAATCAGTGGAATGACTTGCCTCTAGAGGTTGTGCGTGCTCCATCATTGGAGGCTTTTAAGAAGAGACTGGACAGCCACTTGTCTGGAATGGTATAGGGTTTCCTGCCTGAGCAGGGGTTGGACTAGAAGACCTCCAAGGTCCCTTCCAACTCTATTATTCTAATAGAAAGTTAAGAAGCAATTTAATCTTATGCACCAGAGCCCATTCTGACAAACAAGGAGCTAGTGTATCAAACTCAGCAGAAGAGGGCTGAAGACCAGTGCTTCCCTTTTGTAAATTCTGTGACTGCAGCAAATCTTCAGGATCAAATTACTCTCTCATCTTTCTCACGGATGTTGTCTGTAGATGCTTAAGAGTTTGTATGTCTCCGCAGCAACTGTTCCCTTTGTCAATGCAACTATATTGTGTGTACATTGATAGTTGACCTAGTACAGTCCCCCTCCCCTTTCCCCTGTTATGAACAAACTCCAGTTTTCAGTACCTTCTGAGTTCAAAGTTACTTCCAATTACGTTGCCTTAGAATATCCTTCACTCTTATTAAACCCTTTGAAAGTACGTAATTCTCAATGGGCTGGACAGACAATATCCAAACGCAAAGGATAGCAAAGAAATATCTTTTTAGAAAGGAGTTGAAAAAAAAAGAAGACAAAGAATGCTCTTAGGAAGAGAGAAGTTTTAATGAGGTTAGCAGGAAATTGGAAATTTCAGCATCCAGTTTTAAGAACACACCCCCACCTACTTTCCCCTCCCCCAGTTCTTCATAAAAAACATTTCTCCTGCATGAATTAAACATCAGGATGGCAGCCCTGTGTCAGGTATAAATGATTCCCTCAGGTGCTGCTTGCGATGTATAGCAAGGCCAGGGCTGAATAAATTACCCAGGCAATACAAAAATGACATTAAGAGCGCTTGTCCAGGGCTCCATCCGTCCCACAATATTCCCAGCCTACTTGTATTCAACACATCTGATCAATTTCCCTCTAAGATCTGAGCCAGATTTACACATTTCAGAAGGACTCGGATCTAGTATTTGGGGCTTTTTCCGCCCCCCCCTCTAGATTCTCACTCAGAAAGAGCTAAGAATTAGGAATCTCACAGCGGAGCGCTGTGTTTGCCTAGTCTTTTATTAAGAAAGAAAAGAAAACAAGCTTTAATTCAGAAAGCAAAAGAGGGAAGGCCTGGAGACCTTAAAAAGAGCTTAGAGATTGACTAGGTGCAATGGAAGTCCCAATAGTGCTGAATCAGTAGGAAGCATTGGCACATCAATGCGCAAAGTTTTTTTTGTTTTTTGTTTAATGATTCCAGCTTGTGTAGCAACTGCTGTTATGATTTGCTTCTCATTAATACAAAATAGGACAGTTAAGAAGAGGGAGAATAACTGGGATACATTTCAAGAAGCAGGTAAAGATTTCTGCATACAAAAATCCGGTGGGGGGAAACTAACAAGGAAGGCCGTTTTCTACCAGCACAAGGTCTTAATTATTCATGCCTCTGTTCTCTGAATCTTTGTTTGAATGATTTAAATGTCACGCGGCTGGAAACAGGTGGTATATTTCTTTGATTATAAAGTATTAAAGGTGGCATTAGAAAGTCAGCTGAGCTCCAGGTTTGCACCCCGACCCACCATCAAGATGTTAATATAATGGAGCAGCTGAATGAGGGCCTAGTGGTGGTGGGGACCCTATTATGTTCTTCCTTCTTGCCCCACTTCTTCAAGAATAGCGATTGTGCAGGTTGAGCTACCATGACTGGACTGTAAAAATTAAGGTGACCATTAGAGGCTACTTGGTGTTCATGGCAAATGTTATGGGAGAGAAACTACAAATTAACAATGTCAACCTCATACAAAGAAAATCTGTACAAAATGTTTTATAGATGGCACCTGTCACCAGCAAGATTAGCAAAAATGTTTAAAAATATGCCAGATAGATGTTGGAAATGTAAATATAACATAGGCACATATTATCACATTTGGTGGACATGTGGTAAGGCAAGGGCCTATTGGAGAAAGATACATATGTGGTTAGAAAAAAAAAATGTGGGTGAACAAGTGGACTTTAAACCTGAACTTTTTTTTACTAGGTATTATACCTGAAAAGACTAATAAGCAGAAATTATATTTAATCTTACACATTACTACAGCAGCGAGAATAATTTTTGCACAATACTGGAAGAATGAAGGACTACCATCAGAAGAAGAAATAATCAAGAAAATATTGGAATGTGCAGAGATGCACAGATTAACTATGAGGTTGAAAGAGAAAGAAGATACAGAATACTATCAAATTTGGAACCTATTTTATTCTTGGCTAGAGGAAAGAATGAAGGATTAGGAATTGAATATGTACTAGCATAGCAAACTCCAGACAACTTGTTGATTGGAAAAATTAACATATGTTGATGAAAAAAAACACCAATAAAATCTTTACAAAAAAAACAATAGAGGCTATTTGGTGTTCTGAGAATAGCATGATAGCCATAAAAACAAATGGATCACAGAACAAAACAGTTCTAGAGTTCTCACTCACAACATAAATGACCCTGCTCATCATACTTTGGATATATTAGACAAAGACCCAAGTTTCAGGAGGAGTCTACGATGCTTGGAAGAGAAGAGGATGACCTGCCCTTAGCTATAGCAACAATGGGAACAAGATCAAGTTAAGGACCAAAAACCAAGTTGAGGACAGGTCTTCCTGGAGAAAATCTATTTAAATGGTCCTCAAGAGTCAATACTGACATGGTGGCATGTACTCAAACAGGTAGATGGCAACCGAGAATTAGCATTTGGAGACCCTTCTGCTGCCATGCCTAGTGGCGAGGCCCCAGTAGGAGCCATGTCAAAAAGCAGAATAGAAAGAAAAACCCTTCCTTATTAAGACAGAACAGGTGTAGTAGGTTACTAGTCTTAGTCACGCCCATTCCTCATGCTAATGGGAACAACGGCACTTGTCAGCACTTGAACTCTGGGACCTTTTCACAAAATGTACAAAATGCTGGTCAGTGACTGCAGTAAAGATAGCAAAGAACAGTTTTACCCCCAAGCCTACTCATGCTATTCCTGTTTCTCTAAATTAGAGGCTGCCTAATGTACAGTATACTATTTTTTTAAAAAAAAATGACTTAAAAACAGCAATTCAAACATATCTCCTTCAAACAGGGATCTTCCATAGAGGAATAACCTTGCCTGGAATGGACAGATGAACTCTCCTCATTCACTTCAATTTACCTAATGCCACGTACATTCACATATATCTCCCAATGAATAACAGAATAACAGAGCCGGAAGGGACTTTGGAGGTCTTCTAGTCCAAACCCCTTCTCATGAGACCCTATCCCATTCTAGACAAATGACTGTCCAATCTCTTCTTAAGAATGGAGCACCCACAACTTCTGGAGTCAAGCTGTTCCACTGGTTAATTGTTCTCACTGTCAGGGAATTTCTCCTTCACGTTTGGAAAACACTCAAGACCTGCAAAAGCTTCAGAATGACCAGGTGATTCTGGAGCATCCTTTCCATTCTCACCTGTGCGTTCTGGATCTGAATAGCCCCTTGCGGTATTGCTTGGGTTAGCACCTGGCCCTGAGATGTTACCATAGTTACAGGCTGGTAAAGGGCTCCACCTGGTAAAGAGAAAGGATTTCACAATTTTAAGAAGTCTAGCCAACAACAAAGCCAACATCCAAAACCCACAAGCCAACAAAAGTTTTAACCAACCTTATGTGTTTGAAAAAAACAAAACCTGGCTGTCAAGGGAACCTACATTATCATCTTTGCCCGAAAGATGTCATGTTCTTCCTAAATTCATAATCATAACTTAAGGACCGTTTTGAAAAGATGGACTTTAAACTTGGACTATCTATGGCTTCCATTGATGGCCCTCAAATATCTTTCTTGCAACCTGCACCATTCTCTGAACAATTAGCAAACAATTAATCGGTAATTTTTAAGCTACAAAAAATAAGAAAATAAAATAGTGGGTTAAATCTGGAATCAACTTATCACATTTCACTTTTTAAAAAAATTGTCCCTTGACAGGGAAATCCTGACTTCATCATTTCCAGTGAATCACTGAACCCTTAATCACTGGCCTTTAATAGCATCACCATCATCATTGTCGTAATCATCATCATCATCATCATCATCATCATCATCATCATCATCATCATCAATTTCCTTAAACTAAAAATCGCCAAAAAGAAGGCTCTCAAAGTGAAAAACATTTTTTTTTATTCATTGCTGGCAGCGAGCTTAAGAACTGCTCAGGAATGGAAATAGAATATGACTGTACATCAGAGGTCTTCAAACTTGGCCCTTTTATGACTTGTGGACTTCAACTCTCAGAATTCCTCAGCCAGGCATACTGGCTGAGGAATTCTGGGAGTTGAAGTCCACAAGTCATAAAAGGGCCAAGTTTGAAGACCCCTGATGTACATGGTGATGTGAGGATTTCACCTTGATGGATGGATAGCTGAGCAAATGCTTGCATTCAGCAGACAAATGAAATACTTTTACTGAAATACGGTTTATGTTCATTTCTTATCAAAACAGTAGCTCCGGGAAGGTTAAAAACAGAGCAGGTGCAAAGATGCATGCATGCAACCTCGTTCCCAGCATGCAATCTGCTCTTTGGTAGATCTTCAGTTGTTGAGTAATAAGTAGGCTTTCAAGTTGCTTCACCTTACTAATTCCCCAGTGATCAGAAGACTTAAATAAGGCACAGGCTGTACTATGGGGTAAGTGTGTTGATGAAAAGCCCAGGCCAACTGCTCACCCTCTTACATATAAGAGTGGGCAAACAGTGAACCTGGAAACCCACACAGCTTTTTCAAATCCCTGGAACAATTCAACTTTTGCTGAAAAACTGGTTCAGTGGCTATCACCCTTTCAAGGTAGGACATGCTAAAAAAATATTGGTGCATTTCTGAAATCTCTTTTTGATACCAGTTATGCTTGTTGGGCCATGATGTTTAGGACAATACTGGACTCAAATTCCAAGAGGACTTAACTCTTAAAAAAATGTACTGACTTCACATACAGGTAGTCCTCGACTTTCTGTTATTTCGCAGTGGGATAGAAGAACCCATCCATTTTCATTTCTCTTGGCTGCTTAATTTTGTGAGAAGGTCAAGTTTGGTTTGTCAAATGGGAGAAAAGCTCCTTTTAAAATCTCGTTCCAAATTTATATTTTAGCAACAGCACTCCGACTTATACACTGCCGTAGAGTGCTTTACAGTGCTTTACGAATGAGTCACAAGGTTGAAGCATTATTTGCGTATTGCCCGCCCCAACAATCTGGGTTCTCATTTTACTGACTTCAAAAGGATGGAAGGCTGAGTCAACTTTGAGTTGGTCAGGATCGAACTCCTGGCAGTGGGCACAGTTAGCCTGTCATACTGCATTCTAACCACTGCGCCACCACAGCTCTTGGGGGAAGTCAATGGGGGAAGCCAGATTCTCTTAACAGCTGTGTGATTTACTTATCAACTGCAGTGATTTGCTTAAGAACCGTGGCAAAAATGGTCATAAAATCGGGCGTGACTCACTTAAAAAAAAAACTTGCTTAACAGTGGATATTTTGGTCTCTGTTGTGATTGTAAGTCAAAGACGACTTTTGTAAAGATAGATGACTGTTAGAGAGTGTGTCGCAGGTTTTCTTAAAAGGAGAGGCTTTTAAATGTCAATACAGTCTGTTAAATAAAACACAAAAATAGAAACCTGTGATTCCTACGTGCTGAATGACCTGGGCAATTAGTAAAAATAAATAAAATTAAAAATTAAAGCAAATTTTTAAAAAGCAACATGTGTGAGTGCATTGAGAGAAATTCTGGAGAAGAAATTCTGAGAAATTATGCACATGTGGGACTTTGCAGTGCAATAGACCCCGTCCCTAAAATGTGATTCAGGACTCATAGGAGCACTTTGCAGGCATATCTGAAGGCAATATTTTCACTCCCAAACCACCTTTTTGGAGATTAAGTCCCAGCCCTGAACAACCTCATTGAGAAGATGA